ACATGCGAGAGAGGCCTCAAATGCACGACAGAAGAAGTAACGTTCTTGAGGGTACTGTACGTTGTGACACCGCTGCACGATGTACTCAGGCCCCGCTTGGGGGCTCAAAGACAGCTGGTCTAGCGATGCCGGGTATCTCAATCCCTGCACCCACAAACGACGTTATCGGGATTTTACCCAACACGCGGCGTACGAGACAAGGGTTCACCGACCCTCGATATCCTTCTGGGTGAGCAGCCGTTTGGCCAGTGAAGGACCGAGGACGTGAGATACGCCTACTGCAGCCCCGCCATGGCAAACGCCAAAATGGCCCATCAGTAATTCGCCCTCCACTAGGTAACGTTAGGCCCGAATTTTGGAGAAGCGGGATATTGTGAATGCCCAGTCTGCCTAGCGCGATCTACAGCGTTCACCACGAGGAAGCTCATGCAGGGTTCCCACTCGCGCTCGCTAGGGCAGCTGGGAGGGTTATTTAACAGGTTACTCCCCGACTTTTCTGCTATCTTGCACGACGACCCTCAGCCTTGCCTGCTATCTATAAGACAACTCAACCGGCTATTGGTACATGGCTTTCGTAGTACAGTACTTTGCCCTGCTTCTCAAATCCATACACTGAAGCCCAGCCTTGAGGTTTTCGACATTCGAATACAATGGCCTCTTACGGCCAAGACTTTGGTGCTGGCGGACCCTACGAGGTAAAGAACACGGGCTATGTTGCTACCGATGAGGAAAAGAATCATTACGATGTCGGCCCCCGTCATCCCAGTATTGTCGGATCTGTGAAGGCAGTCACCGATCAGACGCACCGAACGCTCAAGAGCAGACACATCCAGCTTATCGGTATTGGAGGAACTATTGGTACTGCCTTATACGTGCAGATTGGCCGAGGTTTGATGAACGGAGGACCTGGAAGTTTGTTCATTGCATTCTCGTTGTGGTATGCAATATTTCCCTCGCCATCCACGGCGATGAGCTAACGCTAACATTTTAAAAGGTGTACTGTCATTCTGGCTGTGACGCTCAGTGAGACTCTCCATCCCTTACTTTCCAAAGCGACAACTCCTTCCCATTGCGACAATGCCCATGCGCTTTATCCTATACCCCAAAGCACCTTTCTCCATCGCTCGCGCTAAGAATGCCGAGCACCAGCTAATGCAATTACCCAGGTATCGCTGAGATGGTCACATTCCTCCCTATATCCTCGCCGTTTATCCGATTTGCCGGAAGATTTGTGGATGATGCTTTCGGTTTCGCGGCTGGCTGGAACTTCTTCGTGTTCGAAGCTGCTCTTGTGCCCTTTGAGATTGTGGCTTGCAACGTCATCATCGGCTTCTGGAGTGATGTCGTGCCCACAGGCGCCATCATCGCAATAGTTCTTGTGCTCTATGCGTACGTTGATACCCCACATCCTGGTGCTGGCAACTCATGCGTTTGGCACTCTGGCGTCTACGTTGGAGCAACCATGAAGCTGTGTGCTCAACCTTCGCCTTAGATTCTCCAAAAGGATACATCCAGATCAAGTGCTAACCTCAACACAGTGTGATCAACATGATGGCCGTCAAATGGTACGGCGAAACCGAGTTCTGGGCCGCCATTGGCAAAGTCCTCCTCATCATTGGCCTGCTCATCTTCACCTTCATCTCCATGTTGGGCGGCAACCCGGAGAAAGATCGGTACGGTTTCCGCTACTGGAAGAACCCTGGTAGTTTCACAGAACTCTACGAACCAGGTCAGCTCGGTCGCTTCCTGGGCTTCCTACAGTGCCTGATCCAGGCTTCCTTCACAATCGCCGGACCAGATTACGTTTCCATGGCAGCAGGAGAGACTGAGAATCCGCGCAAAGTCATGCCTCGCGCCTACAACGCCGTTTTCTACCGTCTGACCACATTCTTCGTGCTCGGCTCGCTGGCTGTCGGTATCAACGTGCCCTACAACGATCCAGAGCTGATCGCCGCTTTCCGAGACGGCAAGCCAGGTGCAGCAGCTTCACCCTACGTCATCGCCATGAACCGACTCCGTATCGAAGGTCTACCTCACGTTGTCAACGCTGGTGTCCTCGCCTCCGCTTTCTCCGCCGGAAACTCCTACGTCTACTGCGCGTCCCGTTCGCTCTTCGGTCTCGCTCTAGAAGGAAAGGCGCCCAAGTTCCTCACCAAGTGCACGAAGCAAGGTGTACCTTTCTACTGCGTCTTCTTCGTCCTCTTGATTGCCCTGCTGTCTTTCCTCCAGCTCAGCGAGAACTCCGCTGTCGTGCTGAACTGGTTCGTTAGCTTGGTGACTGCATCGCAGTTGATCAACTTCAGCGTCATGTGCTTCACCTTTTTGAAGTTCCACAAGGCGTGCCAGGCACAGGGTCTCGATCGAGACACGCTGCCATACAAGGGTATGGCCCAGCCCTACGCCGCATGGTACGGCCTTGTATGCACCTTCATCATGACGTTTGTCGGTGGCTATACTGTGTTCCTGAATGGCAAGTGGGCTGTCGCTGATTTCCTGTTCTCATACTTGATGTAAGTCTCCACCCCATCACCCCCTTCTGTTCCTACCATGACACAATACTGACATGAAACACAGGGTCTTTGCCTTCCCCGTTCTCTTCATTTTCTGGAAGGTTCTCAAGAGGACTAAGTGGGTTTCACCGTCTGAAGCGGATCTTGTGACTGATCTCGCGGAGATTGAGGAGTACCATCGTACTTTTGTGGAGAAGCCGGAGACTAATGCTTTCAACCGTGTCTTGGACAAGATGTTTGGATAGACTCTTGTTGCAACTGTTGTCATGGCGCCCTTTGGGGTACTTCAAGCTAGTGCTTCTTGCTTTGCTTTGGCGATTGCGTACTGCTCTTGGAAAGGGATGCGTTACGTCCATGTGGGTGGTCTATACGAGAATTCATGACAATACCACGAATGTCTATGATGTTAACGAACTTGAAGGATCCTTGAAGAAACCATTTCCTTAAACTGCAGCTCAACGTCTTCCATTCTCAACAAGACACAGCAATTCATAACTAGGGTATCATCATAAACTCCCCCGATAAACTCCTAAAAAAGACCTCCTAGTCAAAACTCTATGAATCGTAGTGAGCGCCAACAGTTCAAAACAAGAATGTCGGTACGTCATCTAAATCCGCAGCTTTCCGTTTCCGCTCCTTCTCGTTCTTCTCCCTTTCAGCCTTGCGTTTGGTAATGCGCTCCGAAGTCTCCTTACTGACACCGCTGTTACCACCACTGTCTCCCTGATCTCTGACCGACGCAATTCCATCGAACGAAGCACTTGATCGTCCAACCTTAGCACCGCCGCGATCGTCCGCGGAACCGAAGGATTGGGAATACTTGCTGACACTGGACGCGCGTGGAGTATATGATGTCTCAACAGGCTGCCGTGGCGAAGACCCTGACAATGTCTTACTTTTCTTCGTCGGTACCAAATCGTCGAGCATGTCAAAGGGTGTTGCGCGACTTATGCGTGAGCGAGATTTTGCTGCAGGTGTAGGTGGCGCAGGCTTAGCGAAGACGGGGTTCGGATTGGGTGCAGGAGACGAGGCAGACTTTTGCCCTTTTGCTGCACTGCTGTTGCGGACTGGGGTGGGTGTGGTGGTGGCTCTGGAAACGGGCTTTGCTGAGGGGCGCGGTGCGTCTAGATCGTCGCTGTCGTAGTCGCTATCTTGTGTTGCGTATTTGCTAGGTGTTGGCTGAGGCCTGGATGTCGCAACGTATCTTGAGGCCATGAACGAAGATGTAAGATTGGACCGGTTCGATAGTGCGTTCCGCCTTTCTTGGTCATCTTCGCCTTCCTGCGACGCAAACACATCGCGAATCGCTTCCTTCTGCTTCAGCTCTTGAACCCTGGCCCTCTCCTTCATCTCGCCACTAGTTGACCTCTTCGCATTTGCAACAACGGGCCTGGTAACCTCAGCAGCTTCTTTCTTCTTCTCTTCAATCATCGCCTTAAGCTTCTCGTATTCGGCGATGTGCAAGTGTCGCGAGAAGAGTTTTGCTGTCTCCAGGAACTCGTCTTCCACCATCATCCACTCGTCGTCGCGCAGATCGAACTTCGACAGACATTTGTGCAGTTTCTCAACATGCGGCGCCTCAAGCTCATCAATGGGAGGTGGTGATGATGACCCTCCACGTTTCCTTCCCAATGCATCTTTGGTCCTTATCTTAGTCCGTGGCGTTGTGGGTGCTGTTGGAAGGCCGGGAAGGTCATCGTCGGACCCATTTGATCTCGTTCTGCTCCTGCTGCTGTCTGCCAGCACAGTGCCATCGAAGAAGTCGTCATCTATGTCAGCCGTAGCGCACGCTTTCGTAGCTTTCCGCGATGATGCTGGCTTGGCTTGGGTCCGACTTCCGCCACTCTTGCTTGCCCAAGGTAGCTGACGCGGCATGATGCCCAAGGTTTTGTAGATCAGCCTTGTATTCGCAGGAGTTGAGAGTGTAGAGGACGGTTTGCACGCGACATAATGACCGTACTCTGCAAAGAAGCAGCTTAGAAGGTCATGTAGTCACAAACACGTCCGAAAGAGTCGAAAGCGCGTGCACGTATGTGAATTGTTCGCGGTCGCCTGGGCACGTGCTATGACGCGCTAGACCCTGCCAGTTCCGTCCACGGGTCGGACCCACTTTCCTGGATTGCGCCCTTCCGCTCCGATCTAATCTGTGACTTTGGACGTGCTCTCCGCCTTCAATTCAAAGTGACACGTTTCGCTTCCATGAGATTCCGTGACGCTCGATGCTTGCCTAGACATCGCGTACCTAGGCACTGATGGGGTCCTTGCTGGTACAGCTGTTGGCATCGAGTTGGTCTCGCTCGACGCTGCAGCTTACACCGAACAACACACTACCATAAACGTCTTAACAACTTAACAACAAACCCACGCGCGCATCTTTTCGTCTAAGGGCCATCGGATGCTCTAAATCGTTCAATTGACTCGACTACCCTCCTTTAAGAACAGCTGGCCTGGCTTTGTGTTGACTCACAACGACCCCTCTTTCCACTCGCAATGTCCATGTTCCGCAGGCCAGGAGATTCGTCGTCAAGTTCGGGAACCTCTGATGATGAGAGCGAATACGAGGAAGCAAGCGAATCGCAACAGGATAGCGTCCTGTCACGAATCGAAACTCTAAGTTCCGCTACTTCTGGACATCCGTCTCTTCAGCCCCATCGGCCTCCTCTAGAAGTTCGGCAGAACTCAACACAAAACGTTCGAGATTTGTTGTTCCATTCAATGCTTGAAAAGCACACTATTCAGCAAGCTGCGGAGCAACTAGGAAAGGATCCCTCTGATCCGGAAGTACAACGAGTAGGAAGAGACGCCTATAAGGAGCTCGCTCGTCAGATATCCAACAATGTAGACGACGCCTACGCGAGCGATGAGATGCAGGGTCACCGAGCAACTGCGAATCAGGGAATCCATCGATTGATCCAGGGCAACCTTAGCAAACTTGCGCCAATCCCCGAAGGAACTTCACAGGCGCTTGTCTCGCGACCAGGAACTGCGATCCATCCACCCTTACCTCAACAACCATCTCTTGGCTTCGATGTTATGTCTGGTATATCAGCTCCTATACAGCTACAGCTACGAGGATATCCTCATCTGCAAACAGACCGCTATATCCGGGAGTTTTCGGAGCTCGAGATTGTAGGGAAGGGCGGATACGGCAAGGTCTTCAAAGCCAAACACAAACTAGATGGCTCATTGTATGCTGTAAAGAGGATACCGGTGAGCCCGTCCAGGGTTGCAAGAATACAAGAGCATGGGCCCGAAGAACTGGAAAGCATGCTTGAGGAAGTTCGTTCGCTCGCTCGGTTCGATCATAACAACATAGTTCGGTATCACAACGCTTGGCTGGAGTTCACTACGATACCGGCAGACCCTGTGGCCGCGCCGGAAGTCACGATGTTACGCAACGACCGTCTTTTGGATGATCGACCCGCGTTTCCGTCATTTTCACCAGGGTCGGGAGATCTGCATTCTCAGCTAAATAGCCTGACGATGGACCATCCCTTCGCGAGCACTGAACACAGCAATAGCGCGGGAATCATATTTGAGTTCAGCGAATCTGAACAGCAAGTGAACGAGACCAGGAGCGAGAGCGTTCATACATCATACAAGGAGACTTTAAAACAGACAAGACGCACAAAACGTCGGGGTAGTCAAGCAAGCCAGAACACGATAGCTACAATATCGTCGACAAAGTCCAGGATGAGCGTCGTGGAGGACGTTGAAGAAGAGGATGATGATGACGTCGAAAATATACCCAGATTACACATGCCGTATTCTCAGGAGTCGCATTCCGAGATGTCAGACAGCATGATATCGAACAGCGATGCGCCCCACCACTTGATTCAAAACCAGACCCTTGGACCAGTCCTCACACTGAATGTGCAAATGAGCCTTTGCGAAACTAACCTTGCCGCTTTCCTCTCTTCCGATCAACATCCCACCGCACACGCAATCGAACAACATTGTTTCCACCCCTGCGTATCGCTGGAGTTACTAGACAACATCGTTTCTGGAGTCGAGTACCTCCACGCACAAGGCGTAGTTCATCGCGACCTCAAACCAGCCAACGTCTTCCTATCGCTCTCACGAGCGCGCCACCCCCCATACGGCTCCGTCAACGTTTCGAGCTGCACAACGTGCCCGAAGCGTGATCACCTACACATGACGCCGCGCATCGGAGACTTCGGGCTTGTCGCGGCGCTGAGCGACAGCTGCACTGTATCGGATACCTTCAAGCCCGTGGGTACGGAGTTTTACCGTCCCCACACAGGCAGTGGTATCAACGAGAAGCTCGATGTCTTCGCTCTGGGTGTCGTAGCGTTTGAGATGATTCAAAAATTCGACACTCGCATGGAGCGGATATCAGCGCTGACGGAGCTACGCCGCGGAGTCTTCCCTGATGGCTTCGCGCAAGGTCTGGGTGATATAGGCGACGACGTGCAGCAACTGATCAGCGACATGGTGCAAGGAGATGAAGGGAAGCGGCCAGGATGTGAAGATGTGCGGATTGAGATTCAAAAGCTAGTACGTGCTTTGAAGATGTGAGTCGGAGTCTCCATCACTGGGCGGAGGTGTCGCATTGGGAGGCGCAGAATAGATACCCACGCATCTGTGGTGACTTGTGCAAGTCGAGTATATTGCATCGTAGCTATCATGACATGGAGTTCCTCTCCAAATGTCGTTCAACTCATGTCCGCGTTTTGATTGTGGTTTTCATAATGATGCACCTGTGTCGTAGGTGGGCGGGAAAGGCCCAAGACTCCCCACTTTTAGAGGCCACTCTTACCCCGCAGTCTCCTCGCTTGGGCTACTAGGAGCTCACAACCTTCGCACAAGTTCGCAGAGCGACGACGACTATGCAGCCCAGAGGCTGCATACTCATCTGTGATTTGCATTATCAATATATAATTTTTAATTCCAAAATTTGCCACCTGTAACGGGTCTCAGCCAGAAGACATTCCGTTTCCAAATTCGGCTTACTGTCAATACTTTAACGGGAGCCCAGTTCGAGTCCTGTGGTGTCCTTTAATCCACTCACTTGGGTAACCAGTGATGCTGGAGGGACCTAAGCAATGAATACAACTTGACGAGGGAAGCAATTCCGCAGTCTAGTATTCACCACGGGACGGCGGCGCTGGATTACTCCTATTAGGGTTGGAAGTCGGGTGACGGGTTGGGGTGCCTACTGGTATTTTGTTTTTGTCTTTTTGCCTAGATCTTCTTTTTTGTTTTTTATCTACCTACCTACCAACCTATATGCACGCACATACGGAGAACAGTAGTTAGCAGCGCCTGCTGTCGTATCTTCTGCTTTGCATTTCTCTTTTTGCATCTATTGCATCGCACTTTCAGTAGCCTCTGCACGAGAAAATTGCTAAGAAGAATACATGGTATTACATATGTACATCCGCCAAAGCGAGTCCCTTTGTCGCCGCCCAGCAGCAAGATGAACCAGCATCTCCACTGCCAGCACACCCCGTCCCTCAATTTAACGTCCGCCTCCACTCATCCATAGCATCAAAAAGCGCCCCCAACCTCACCCCATCCTCGTCCTCTCCCACAGTCAAGACCTTAACCACACTCCTCTTCCTCCCATGCCTCAGCGTAAGTTCCCTCAACGGGGGCATCGAAACCAACATATCCCTCCACGACCCCTCTTTGCACCCCAATACCCTCTCATTCTGAATCCAAACATTAAAATCCATAACAACCGGATGGAAAACAATCTCTTGGCTCGTCCGTATAAGCCCCAAACACCTCCTCATCAGACTAATCTCATTGCGCACGCCGACTGAGAACCGGGTGCCAGACGGTTGCACCCCGTCTTCTATACTCTGCGGCGTAACATCGAGTTCAAAATCGAAGGTTGTGGGGACGAGATTGTAGATTTGCAGACTGCGGGACGGCTTCAGATACAGCATCTCCGCTAGTAAAGGGGAGTCGCCGGGGATGAGTTGCCGCCATACATTGCACACGCGCTGGCAGCGGAGTAAGTCCCAGAAGTCGAGGTGGATGAATACGTGCTGGAGCACTTCAACGGGGAGGTCTGTGATGCGTTTTCTTTGGCCGCTGCCCGGGTGCGTGGAACCTGCAGTGAACATTTGGCGGACGCGGTCCGCGTAGTTTCCTATGCTGCTGCGCCGGCTGTCTCGTGAGAGTTCCGAGTCCCAAGACCGCATGGAGGCTGTGTCTGCGTCTGCGGGGAGGCCGCTGATGGAAGGGTTGCGGATGGAGTGGCTTGAGGCGCTTTGTTTGCGCCGGTTGGTGGTGTCTTTGAGCTTTTCGGAGAAGCGCGTGAAGGCCGAGAAGTGGGATTGGTGGTGAAGATCCATCATGGCTTCTGTTCTGCTTGATTGTCGAGATGTATGACCTTGCTTCCGTCTGGAACTTTTATGTTTTTGATCTGGACTCCTCTAGGGCATCCAGTGTCGTTGTTAGCGCTTTTGATACGGGCTGTGTTATTAGACTTCAGCCTTGCGACGACGGTGCGGGGTTATATCGTGTAACGTAATTGCGGTGCAACTCTATATCTCTTGTGTCTCCGCGACGGTTGAATGGTACGGTGTTCTCTTATATCGTGTCCGAAGCGGTGTGAATGGCAGCATCGATCGAGAGAACAGGAAACGACGACAACGTGGAAGCCGCAGCTGACATGTCATTTACACTAGCCGAATGTGGCTGACTGACGCGGGATGGGGGCCGACAAAAGCAAGCAGAACACATGGGGGCTGGGATGTTCGGCGATGTTTGCTTGACGGCTTGCGAGGCGTATCAAGGAAAGTGAGGTTGACGGTCTGTTGTTCTGATACGCTGCAAGGGTAATGTTCCACTATTAATGCCGATGTTGGCCATCAAACGCACTATGTTCCCGCCTTTCCGTGTGGGACTATACATCCTACATACGATACTGCGATAGTGGATCAAGATGGTATGTTGTGTTGTATTGATATATGTTTACATGGCTTCCCAAGCCAAGACTGTATTGTTCTTGAACGGGCCGTCTGATGACGCAATGCCAGAGCATTGAAGTACACATGAAGCGGCGCATGGCACGCTTGTCGTGAGACGAATATTGTGCCAAATGCTCCAACACTTCTCCGGGATCCTCCTTGACGTACTCCTCGGCGCGGTAAGCCTATCTGGACGTGAAGTCTCAAAAGTGCCCACTGAGTCCTTGATTGAAGGTCGCTGCATGTCATGTATGCGCCCCGCTCTCTTCAGCCGACCTCGATTGATGCCAATGCGCCAATGACTTCTTCAGCGACCCCTCCGTTTTCTACCACCATCTTTGTGACTTGTGAGATCAGCCCCCTCTTCATGCCGCCTCGGGGTGGTGTCCAGACGCCTGAAGTCGCCAACAGTTCTCTTTGAGTGAGCGCATCTGCACTGGAGGTGGGCGCAGTACCGCCTGTTGCTGAGTTCATCGAGTTGGGTACGCCCGGGGGCGTCAGGTGGGACGGGGGGTCGATGGTTCGGATAGAGACGATGCGCGCGCCCGTGGACGAGGTTGTTGAGTTTGTGCATGCGATGGCGAGGACCGCATCTGCTACTGCGAGCTCCTCCTTAGCGGGATCGAAGATGATGTTGGGGCCCACTGCCATGGCTAGTATGATGACTGGGGGCTTGCCTAGCTGGGGAGCAGTCTTGTTGGTACCCGCCTGCTTCGGGTATAGAGGCACAGCAGCATCCCAGTCGTCGTCGAACAGGGGATCTTCGTCCTTTTCCGACTTTAGGGCTGGTAGGAGGGTAGTGAGGAGGGCGAGATGGGTGGTCATGGAAAGCAGCGCGAGCGGGTAGGAGAGCGGGGGTGAAAGAAGCAGGATCTAGGGCTGTTAGCAGTGTGTTTAGAAGAGGCGTATCGCGACTTCTTACATCGACGTAGAGCTTCCAGTGAAACCGTCTGTTGATGTACAGGCGGTCTTTGAGCTCTCCACTGGCGAGCAAGCTCTCGGTGAGCATGGAGGACAGGAACACAGGCAGAGCGTCGTCTTCGCGGAAGCCTGGCACCTCGACGCTCATCTCGACCCAGGCATTCTGGCCCTTGCCCTTGCTATCGTCCGTCTCTTCGCCCTCTCCCATGTCTACATCTTCGGGCTCACCCAGGGTCGGGCGCTGGCGTGACCTCTCCACCTCGGCCTTGACTCCTACGAGCGCCTCGGTCCCGTCTTCCAGGGCGATGCGCGCACTCCCGTTTGCGCTGGGCAGTACGTCATACTCGGCGCGCATGGAGCGAAAGTCGCGGGGGCCCTTGGTGACATCGAGGCGGATGGGCGGCGTCTGTGAGAGGGTGGAGCGCAGGAAGGACAGCTCAGCGGGCGAGAGGTTGACGAGGGCCTGCTGGGGCGCCATGGCAATTGGATGGTGGTGCTTGGGACGGGGCGACGGCGAGGTGTTTGCTGCTCGCGGATTTCTTGCGCATTTGTTTCGACGACGAACTAGCGGGCCCGGCGATTCGGCTGCAGCGTCACTTGCTTGCAGCCCCGGCGCGAGCTACTTCGCGCGACAACACCGTGCGCTGACCGCCGGTCCGCAAGAGCATTGTACGTCTGGGTTATTGGGTCCGGGCAGACATATACTGTCGCAGTCTCGTGGCTTCTACTATATTCTTCTCTTAATATATATTCCTAGGGCCATGCTACGGTAGACCAAGCCACCCGACCCTCGTCACACGTCCACGACCGGCCGCCAATGTCACCCCCGAGGTCCAAGCGGAACAGCGGCAATGCCATCACCACCATCGACAAGCTCGACTACCCGCCCAACTCGCCCCGTCGCCCGCTGCTCGCCCCCGACGACGACACCGAATCCCAGCGCCGCAGCAACGACACGAGTTACGCCGGCAGCTTCTTCGAGCAGGTGGCCGAAGGCATCTACGAGCAGGACCGCGTCAAGATGCAGCGCGCCGTGCTACGATGGCTGAGCTTCGTCTGGGCCATCGTCATCTGTCTCTGCGCTGGTAGCATCACCGCCTTCTCTCTCTACGGCCACTTGTTCCAGTCCAAGCTGCACTACACCCAGGTCCAGGTCAACATCGTCTCCATCGGCGCCGAGCTCGGCCTCTACCTGCTCGTCCCCATCTTCGGATACCTCTGCGACCGTCTGGGCCCTGGCGTGCCTGCCGGTCTCGCTGGCATTCTCTTCGGCTCGGGATATCTGCTGGCAGCCTTCGCCTTCAAGAGCGGTCCTCCGCCATCTGCAGGCGGTCATGGCTGGCCTTTCGGCGTCATGGTGCTGGCCTTCGCCTTCGTCGGCATGGGCACCAGCTGCATGTACCTGGCTGCAGTAACAACATGCGCCAAGAACTTTGGACGCGGAAACGCCAAGGGTGTGGCTCTGGCAGTGCCCATCGCAGCCTTTGGACTCAGCGGCATGTGGCAAAGTCAGGTTGGAAGCCGGCTGCTGTACGTGAGGAACCCGGATGGCACCAAAGGCGACGTCGACGTGTACCGCTTCTTCCTCTTCCTCGGCATACTCCTCCTCTGCGTGGGCGCCGTCGGCTTCTTCGCGCTGCGCATCATGGACGAAGAAGAGATGATCGACGAGGC